TCATATCCTGTTCTACCCAATTCAGGCAACTTATCCGAGGAGGGTGGGTGTTTGTGAGAGGATCTCTAACAAAGGTGGGAGACCTCACTGCATTTATACAAACGTCATTTTAGACGATGGACTAAGTACGTTGAAGAACAGTTCAGCAGGGTCCTGTTAACTCGATATCTGGGAACGTGGATAACAGTCCACCATTGTGGACGTAAGTCAAAGGNACAATATCATTACTCCTACGCAGCAAAGCACTTGGTCCTGATGGTTTCCATCTTGCATTCTTCATTGAAGATTACAGGTTCCCTTGGCTGTCCTGACGAATTTATCTCGCAGTATTTCAGTTGCACAAACAACGCTGACAGAATGGAGCACCGCGGCCGAAAAGATGTAAGAGCTTTATGCAACAACTAGCAATCTAGTGACCATAGCTTCTGAAGTATTCTCAGACAATATCCTACAAAGGTTGACTCATTATCGGAAGAGTCAGATTTACAAGAATCAAGCTGGGGCATGCCCTGGTCGAGATTGCATCGATTGTATCTTTACTTTGCGACAAGACCTGAAACCGCGCCACACCTGCTGATGACAAAAACTGACCGTCTGTCTCAATCTCAGCTCTGCCTTTCACATCGCTGATTGCCCTAAACTGTGGTAGTGCCTGAAGAAGGGCATTTTATCTGAATTCCTGCCTCTTGTCTTATATGCCTCCTACCTTGGAGATATCTAATTGCGACAAATCCCTTCCCTATTTCATCACAGTACAGTGTTTGTTCTGGGAACGATGCATGAAGACACTAACCAGTAAACTCAGTCGGATGAGTAACTGTCGCCTCCCTGGATGGGGACTCAAATCACCAGTGGTTAGTGACATTAGCGGAAACGGCCCGATTGCGCAGTCAATGGCGCTCGTGCATTAGAGCTAGCACCTTCAATGCTTAGCTACTCGAACACACCTTCGCCTCCAGCTCTTGGTTGTATTTTCCCCGTTCCCGGTTTCCGGTGATCAAGACTGTAGCAGCTGGAACCAATGTGCCTGTGGCACACGGTTTATAGCTGAAAGATTGAATTGAGTTCATCACATTCATTAGCGTGAAACAGTATTACCCTCTAATGCCATTTCTCTTCAAATTCCTAATCCACGTTCCGGCTGAGTCTTCTTCATCTACCTGTAAAACCTCGGGGATTGAAATACTCCCAAGAATTTTGCTTACGAGTAGTGAGTACCGGACGATAATGCTTCCACGGCTAGATATGCGCTTCGCACCCATAAACAGCTTCTTCAAGACTGAATGGGATCGAACCCAAACCTAATGTTTGCAGTTTAACTGACCGATGTGGTGGAAAGTTCGTTCAGATAGACAGCTATAAAGGTGCTAGCGGACAGCTAAAAGGTGGAATCCCTTCTGAATAGGGAAGGCCATTAAAGCGTTTATGGAATTCCGACATTTGTGGCACCGAAGTGAAATCTGATCAACTGTCAGGGGTTGAGTGCACAATGATGCAGTCCGATCTGTCGAACTTTATGGATCAGATACGTGGCTGCGGGGTATGGAAGACACCCGAAGATTGCCTTTGTTTATTATCCGGTGCCCCTGAAGAGCTGCACGGGTCCGTTGGAAACATAAGTTCAGGAATGTGACGCTGTGTTAGACAGTTTTCGATAAACTCCATTCTACATCTATAAATCAGCTAGTTGGTTGAGTAAAGTTCCCCGTGTGTCAAAAGACTTTCTGGTCTGTATAGCTCCGTTGTCCCTCTTTTTACCCAATGGAGACGAGTGAGATGAGGTCGGTCCCTGACTCAGAAACGAAGTGTGAAACTTCATAGCAGTCAACTCAATCGAGCTGATAAGTGATGTCTCCCGGAAGTGGAACCGCGGGACGAGAAAATCTCTTCCTCTGTTAGATAAGGCTGTGTCATGCAACCAGTGGCGTTATAGCATCAGCGCTTTCATCTAATTTGGGAAGTCTCTTCTTTCTGCTATATTGGACAGTCAGGTGGAGTTGTCATCATAGAATCGATGGGATCAGCACCTCCAACATGTGACTCTCATCTCTGTGTTCTCCCTAATCGTAGGTGAGCACCTGGAATTAATTCTTTCTTATGAATGGCTTGGAGCTGAACAAATGAACTATGCTGAACTAAGGAGGATAGAGGTGGGGGGGAGCATACAATTTCAGTTGGATGAGAAATAGCTCATCTAAGCCACAGGCCTTGTTAGTGAGAAACCAACATGTTGTCAATGAAAGTTATTCTCTCCTCATCACTTTTTCTCTATTTGCCATTGGAAGTATGATTTATCAAAATTCACGACTCACTAACTACGGTTTCCAACAACACAGAGCATTTTAAAACATCCTACTTCGGTTATGGGGAGGCGTAAATGCCGTGTCGAGCCTTCAACGTGAGCGCCGAGAAAAAATTAATTTTAACCGGAAAACGAACGATAAAACCTATGTCAGTGTATTTGGTTAAATGCCCTCCAAAGTACTTAAGGGTCAGGAGACCAGAACGGTGGTAGGCATATAGTTCGTGTTGAATAGACTCTCAGACGAACAAATATTTGGCCGTGCTTTTCCCCAACTAGACCTCGTAATCCTTCCTGGTACATACTTTGAAAACCAGTGCTAACCTACTGTGATAAGACAAAATCGAGAGGGTGGCTTGAAAATGGAGGAGAATTTGGAGTCACGAATCTAAAAATCAGGATGCGCCGGGGAAACTGAAGTCGTTCAGCATGTGTTTGGAAAGTGGGTCGAATTTGCCTGAACTAACACGTGAAGAACGATCCATAAAGGAAATAGGGGCAACAAAATTGATCACCGGACAATGTGAATACTCAATTGGAAGATGGTTTTGGTGTTTCAAAATAATGATTGATACCCAAGGGAGACCAATATTCCATAGTTGTCAGCATCAGACAACACCGCCAAGCTTAGGTCACGAGACAACATTAATGGAATTGGCATGCAACTCACGTTGAGTCTTGAGAATGGACGTCAATCCGAATGATGACGCATACTCACTCAAACAGACCAGAGGTGAGGAACTAAGTCAACTTGTTTCCTCAATAAGGACTACTTTTCCAAAATTCAGAAGAGAGCTCTTTTCTAAACTACTCACGTAGTCTCAGAGAAGATTTCAGTTATTTAAAAAATTAACGTTCATTTATATCCCATGGTGCTTTCTATTCGGTTGGCCAGTGCGGTTGGCCAACGTGAGGCATTTTCACGTTCCAGAAACCAAATTGCTATCACCAAATGTCGCCCTATTTTAACATTTTCCATTGGTCTTTGCCAGATGAAGAACCTTGTCCAGAATAAAACGATCAATATAGATTTTCTGATAAAATAATGCCCGTATATTTGTTAGTTTTCACAATCATTGAGGTGATGGGCTCCCGACTCATAGCCACACATGTTGATTGAGTGCGTAGCACCTATTCTAAACCATCAGTCTCGATCGTTAATATCCTTGTTTTCCGCTCAAAACAGAGTTGACTAAAGTGGAGTTATTAGCTAATGCCGAAGAGCAATCCATCAGGGTTTGTCGGCATTAAAATTTCAAAGAAAAGATTGAAATTTTGTGATAAATAAAGCACAGAAGTGCATCTGGAACACCTTAAGAGTGTGCACAATGAGGCGTGCATTATCTACGAAGATGTGTTTGGATATGTAAACCTTTACTCTATTCATGGTAACAGGTATACATTAGTTGTCTCTGGGAGTTCTTCCACTTACGCTGCCTCACACTTTCATTTTTGAGTGACATCTGTCGCTCATGATGTGATTCTCTGATAACCTAACCACTCAGACAAATTATTATTACTACGAGTGTGCATTCATTGAGGAATTGAACTCAAATTCGCTGAATTTTTTTATTGACATTGGCACGAAAATCGGACAGAACGCCGTTTTATCTGCGCTACTCATTTGTCGGAACGTTCATCTGTCAAGTGCTTCTGAGGTAACTAACGGTGTCAAACAGGAATCCTTTGACAAACCGGTTGCTGATATAGCATGTTCACTTAGGGGTAGGCCCTAATGGGAGCAAACTAAATGAGGTAAGGGATCACCGTAGATATTTCACGATACAACTTCACCATCACCTTGGCAAATGAGCAATTCATCTAGCATTCTCATAGTTAAATAACAGACCCAAAGCTGCACGCGTAAGGGAGGGTGATCGGTAAACCATTGAGAATGGAATAAAGTTCATCTCCTAGTCTGTAAACCCGAAAAGTTTGGCGTCAGGGTTTGTTTAATGCCACCACACATTGCCGTGTGTGTGGTGACCAAAGTAAACATGAATCGATATGTGAATGCCAGACTAATGGATAAATGAAGGTTCATCTCATTTCACTGTAGCGCAGTTAGCCTGGTTACCGCACCAAGTGAATACTTGAGATAGGCATTTGTAGATTCCGACGGCGACCTCCAGGTTTATCAAGGCGGTATGCACTGTAACATACGAGGTATTCTGGCTAAACAAATGGCGGCGAGAACCATTATTGTGTTGAACAGAGTGAACTATCCTGGTGATTACGGTGGTCATTATGGTGTCCCATTACATGGATCTTGTTGTAATCGAAAGCCTCTGGGTGAACGATCTTAGTAACCTGGCACACAAACACTGCCGGTAATCTGGATTACAGCTTCATACAAACACCAATATTAGAATAACTTGTAATTAAACGACCGGGGTTACGAACAAAGCAGTGAAATTAACCTTTTCTTGACGATGTCTTCGGCGTGCATGAAAAATCTGACCGCAGAACAATCGAGAATATCGCGTGTACCTGACACAACACATGTGAGATTCATTTGAACGAGCTTTAAACAAGGAAGGTGTTGAACTTACCTCTTTTGTCGGAGTAATCTCGGCGTGCATGAAAAATCTGACCGCAGAAGAATCGAGAATATTGCGTGTTGCCCAACACAACACATGTGAGCTTGATTTGGACAAGCTTAAATCAAGGAAAGTGTTGAACGTACCTCTTTTGTCGGAGTAATTACCAGTAAAATCAAGCATGTCCCCTCACTTGACCGACCCAAGTTCACCGGCGTGGATAATCTGGCCAGTGCAAGGTACCTTCTGTTTATTGGACCCAAGGAACATCTAAGATAAGAGGGTTTTACGGAAGCAATCGTTTACAAAAAGGCTTGTGTGGCAAACGATTTCAAATACGCAAAGTCTTCTTTGCAGACACTAAATGGCCCCCCACAATATTATCATATGACTGTAAACCAGTAGCTTGCTTCTAAAACCACCGCTGATACGGAAAGTTGAAAGTCGAAGACAGCCATGCCGGTAACGAAGGGCTGAATGATAAGTGTAAAACAAACAAAGATTTGAGTGCCAGCGGTAGCCTCAGGATACGATAATGAACATGTGGTGTTTTATACAACGCGTTGTTACACAACAGGGCCTGGTATTAAGGTGACACATACTTACGCAAAAGCTAAACAGTATGGTGAAGACATTTTTCTTTTGGATCCGCAGCTCCTTCTGTGATTTTATATAGAGCAGTTACACAAAATCACACAAGTCTACAAGAAACCGAAATAATTGGACTGCTCTGTCCTTAACTGCACGCAGCTAACGAATACACAGACTAGATGTTTTGAGCGCAGTACTACAATACACAGCTTTCGCCTGATGCTAATGTTTCAGTTGAACTTGAAGACAAAATGACACTTATATGCTAATCGGATTATATTCGACTGGTATATTTTTGGCATCAAGCTTGTCGCACGGTGACAGAAGGAACGATCCCGATTTGAGTGATTCCGGAGTTCCGACAGTGGAGTAAAATCATACGTCCGTTATGGCCAGAACGAGGTTTCGGTCAAGCGTTCTATAAAGTTGTCACATCAGGATCTAAGGGTCATCTGTTCAGATGGATCTTGTGTAGTTTGATCGCTACTCAACCGTTTAAAAAAACAACCGACAATGATACTTATCTAAGCTTTTCAGTTATGGGATCGCTAGTTTGAGGAGCGATGTTGTGAGGTATGCCGTGTAACAGAGTTGGGCTGAACTGCACGGATGCTAAACGACCAAAGTTCTTTCGGACATGACCAAAACGGGTAGAATTCATCTATGAACTGAATCTAAAGGTAAAGAAAAACCGTTCATCACTGTCACCTTAGAATAGGCACCAATTATATTCAGTGATTCTGTATACCTAGGAGTGGAAACAGGGGTACGTTGTACCTCAAGCCATAATCTTGCATGAACCCAATTTTTAGAGGCAACAGGGTAATTTTTAAACACTTACAGAAAGAGTTTCACTCATACTGCACCATTATTAACCGAAGAGCCAGTGCAAGGTGTGTAAAAACGACCCTGTGAAAACCTCTTTTATAAAGATAACTATTAGCAATGCTGTGGAATGAAGGTAGCTCGGCTGCGCTGTTTGGTGAACAGACGAACAACCCAAGATAACTATACATCCAACTACCACGCATCCAATGTAATGCAAGTACTGAGTGCGCCAATTAGAGGGCGCCTTTTCAGTAGGTGAATTTCTTTCAACAAAGTTGCCAATTCGTATCGGAGATGGGGTAGCAGATTCTGGGTTGTCACCCATCCCTGCCACACACAACAACGGTTTACTAGCATGCATTATTATGGGAAGTTTTCATTTGGGCACGCTGGGTAACTGAATGCGTTGTATGGGACCTTTGGAGACTCATAAGCTTAGCCAATTTTACCATCATGCTACTCTCCACTTAAGTTTGCATTCAAGTGTTAATTGATTAGAAACTGACGAGTCGCAGGGTAACCTCTGATGAGTGAAGGCAGTTGTCCTTTCATCAATTAGTTTCTTCTTCCTAGAGAGCTCACCAGCTCAACAATTAGAGCTGATATGCTTACCGTTTTTTCTGGCTCACCGAGTATGCAGTTGGCGAGCATCGGATAGGTCATTTACTCTTTGAGCATCAGTAGGTGAATTTCTTTCAACAAAGTTGGGAGATGGGGTAGCAGATTCTGAGTTGTCACCCATCCCTACCACACACAAAAACGGTTTACTGGCATGCATTATTTTGGGAATTTTTCATTTGGGCACATTGGGTAACTGAACACGTTGTATAGGACCTTTGGAGACTCATAAGCTCAGCCAATTTTACCATCATGCTACTCTCCACTTAAGTTTGCATTCAAGTGTTAATTGATTAGAAACTGACGAGTCGCAGGGTAACCTCTGATGAGTGAAGGCAGTTGTCCTTTCATCAATTAGTTTCTTCTTCCTAGAGAGCTCACCAGCTGATATGCTTACCGTTTTNTCGGATAGGTCATTTACTCTTTGAGCATACAACCGCGTCATATATACACGTAGGTATACATAAATTATTCAGTATATCAGACTTGATAGTCGACCAGAAGCCCAGAGTTGGAGAAACTTCATCTCAACCACCAACAGAGGATAAATCAAAGAGAAAAACGGTTGTAACCAAATTTGGTTTCGCAAAACTGTCACCTGGAACCCACCTGAATCTCTCTTGTATGACGTTTCTAAGCTAAATCTCCCGTTTATGATGTTTCTATATAATTGAGTCGACGGAAAACAGGGGGCTGCGCCCACCTGATGAGCCCCAAGAAGGGCAAAACCGGTCGTGGACTGTCGATAAATTTCCAGCAACCTTAAGAGTAGTGTACTACGTCTATAAAAGTAGAACGACTATGTTCAAACTATTAAAGCGAAAAGCAATAGCTTTTGCCCAAACACTGAGAACCGGCATTCAAAGGAGGAAGTTTTATTTATCCATGCTACATCGCCCAACGCTTGTTTAGTGGATCCAAACCATACAACGTAAAAAGCAAGCACGCTTAGCTTATTAGAGTTACTTTTTGCAGCGCAGGTAGTTACGGTCATCATTAACTACCCACGTTTTCCCCATTAGCGTACGACAGGTAAATTGCATAACTAAAGGGAATGTCCATCAGCACTGTACCTCTTGAAATAAACGAACGAACTTTTGCTAATGGGGTTTGCTTGTTACGTATTTGTCCTCCCCGACCACCTTGATGGATTTCCTTGGATGTAAGCCAATTATCTGTAGTACCACTAAACTAATTTCGCTCGAGAAGGCCCACGTTTTGCTACCCAATTCGTTTTTATCATAGGTATCTTTTATTGGGGGGGAATATTTCGTACTGGCACGATACTTAATATTTGTATTGGGGTAGTAAATTACAAACAGTTCAGAATAAGCTCCAACAATTGTTCAAATAATCTGTAATTGTAATTTACGCATCGATTATTTTGAAGCTTCAAGAAGAGGCGATTCTGTGATTTTTTACGGGTTTTTAGGTGATCCATCTATCAATTTTGGTGTGGAAAATGTCTTGTCCGTGAATAGCACAATCAGTAAGCTGCAGTCAGTGGAGTAAGACTACTGTTCACTAACACTGGAGTCATTAGTTTTCTCTGAGAAAAGCCTATGTTGTCTAATTTATTGCAAACTTACAGGGCGCAGACCCAACTTTGATCTGTTGAAAGGCCATCTTCGTCCAGAACGGAAATTCCCTTTATCGTTTTGGCTAGACGCTGATCTGAAGATAGAACCGGGCAAATAAATGTGAGGATCCGATCACAACAGAAATGTACCGAACAACTAAAAATTTCGCAGGGCAGTTCTTTTGCAAGATACCGGGAATTAGGCTCGTCCAATCCTAAACCAAAGTGGTTCGGACTGACGTTTGCACACCGCACACCATGCGATGCGCGGCAGCCTACAACAGCTTGAAAAAAGATTGACGCAAGAAGAACCTGTAACCCATTTCATCATTCATAAGACTGAACTGCTCATGTCTTTCTAAAATTTACAGTGTTGCGTGGGCACGTTGCGTTACACCTTGTCAACAGGGTATTGAAGGCTTAAAATGTTGATTATCACGCTTTACAAGAGCTATTCAGGCAGACCTATTGGTTTCGATAAAAGCCTTTCATTAGGTTTGCACTCCTGATAGCCTCAACCACCTGGGCAAACGACTGAATTAGGGAAACTTTGTAGTAAATTCACAGTGCCACCTGGGGAGCAGATGGTTGATTATCGTGGAACCTGCATGTCCCCTTATTGATACCGTCTTTAGGACAACGGGATGGATTTTGGAAGATGGGCGTTCCCAGCCGGTAGCCACTGCCGGCAGCTGAAACCATGGGTGGGATTTAGTACTAATTTAGCAAACATATCCAGACTTATCACCGCGTGCATGATGACATACTTCAGAAGATGAAGATTTGTTTTTCCTGACAAAACTTTTCTCCTTCGAGGCGCTCCCCAAGAAAAATAAATTGAGTTCTGTTGTACTCACACAGTGATTAACACACTGCACTGCCGTCCGGAAATGGGCGAACAAAACGCCAGTGATAAACAATGTCGGAGGATAAACCTTTTCATCCCGCGTCATTTTGAATAAAATTATTTTTTAACAAACTACACAACAAAACTGAGGATGCTGAATTTTCTTCGAGAGCACAAGAGGCGTCCATTTTTCAGCAATAAGGATACTCCAAATATGAAATGATCACTTTCTTGTCTTCAGTACCAAAGCGATGTACGCTAACTAGTTAGAAGCTAAATGTCAGCTGGGTCTCGCCATGTGATTGTTGAAATTCGGTCGTCAGAATTGAAATAAACGGTTCACTAAGCCAGCTGGGCTACATGTGCTTTGTCTATACGTCAACAGTGAGCTGTAAAACTGGACGTCCTAAAATTCGAATTTCGTGATTTATTTTAATGTGTGGGCGAATTTGGCCGGGTCCATAACTTGCTATGCAGACATTTGGAAATTATTTTTATGGTCTACAAATACCGTGTACGCAACAGTTGGTCCTGATCGTGGCATTTCTGTTCAGTTTAGCTTGTGATTAACATCCTGATCCCTAGCATCAGAGGTTAGGAACAATTTTCTGCACTTTTCTGAAAAGTTTTTGTTCAGACATTGGCCAGTCCTACAGCCTTTGAATGGTCAGCAGCCGGTGTCGTCCCCTTAGTTCTATGGGGCCTCAGATCGATTTGTATTGCATTTAAGAAATTTTGAATTATACTCACCCCAAATTCTAATGCAATCTGTAGGTTTTGGCTGCTCGTTGTTTTAGCAATATGACACTCACTTCAGTCTGCAGGAAGTGTGTGGCTGCACACGCTTTACAAACGTTACCCCGAGCTGGGGAATTTGATTGACATTTGACAAAGGTCATCTCCTGCTGGCAGCACCTATACTAACACACGCGTAAGACTACTCAACGCACAACCTCTAACTCACCGCTACGCACCACCACGCTCCCCAATAACGCACCGATGATGTCACCTCGATTGGTGATGAAACATTTGCAATCAAGTTCAGCTCAGCGAACAATCCAACGACCATCTACGCTACCTGAGCTACCAGTATTTTATACCGTAGCGCTACAGTTATTAAATAATTTTTGTCCCCGAGTAATGGTTTGAGTGATAAGTAAAAGCAATGATATTATTGCTCTCCGTTGGCCTAAGTACCACGCTCCCTTTCGTTAGCTATTAATCAGCATTGCAATGCGTGTTTACTTAAAACGATGGGAGAAATTCAAGTGGGGTGTTGGTAATTGGTCTTAGTTCATTTGGTAGTTGACAGTTTGCTTGCAAACTCTCCTTCACAATCAGTAGTGCGCGCACGGACCGCACATATTTAGAATACATTTGGTTGTGCGTCATGCACGACGCATAAGTTTGCTGAAAATTCTTCGACAGCCCACGACGGCTTCGCCCTTCCTGGGTCTCATCAAGTAGACGCAGCCAGCAGTTTCCGTGAACCTTACGTTCTACTTACACCCAAATTACTTGGGAACAGCATAAACGAGAGATTCAGTTGGGTTCCAGGCGAGTCTATGGAGAAACCAAATTTGTTTGCAAATGAGTGTATTTCGCCAATTTCGTGCAATTCGGTTTCAAGTACAACTTAATGTTGACGGAAACTCGGGGCCTGCGCCTACCTGATGAGCCCCCAAGACGGGTAAAACCGATCGTGGACTGTCCAAGAATTTTCAGCAACCTTATGAGTAGTGCAAAATGAAGATACGTTAGCTTGCCAACATACCACTTAATCCGATCATCTACGAGACGCAAAACAGTTAATTTACGTATAACACTGGGTTGGCGACCAAGTTGAACAGACACGTTGATATACTGAAAAGTAGTGCATGATCAGAAATAAGTCCGAAGTCTTTCGTGGAGAAGAAGTTAGCTTATGAACCGATTGGACAAAATAAGCGTTCCATTCTAGTTTCTATGCAACACTCGAAAGTAATCTATTGCATCTACCAACGAATTCACAATAAGCGCTTATCATCAAATGGAGCGGGTCCGCGGTTTGACCTCCAAACTTTTGGAGAAATTTAGTCTGATGTGCGTGCTTTGTCAAGCCTTCTGATGGATACCGATCTTTTGTCATGTGTAAACATAACCGTATCTCCAAGATATCCAGTAATTGTGCGGTTGTCAGATTTATTTGACAAACTACTGTTATGCTTTTAGAGAATGGATCTTCGGGTCAAGCTGATAGGACTCAGCTGTGCTGAGTTGTAGAACTAGCAAAAAGCAATATTCACCATTTCCCTATGCCATTCACCCACAAGTCTCCCATGAACTGTAACGTCAAGTATGCACCTTCGGAATTGCAATTCTTTTGAGAGAAGAAGCCCTGTGTATCACTGAGGCGTCTAGATAGCTACTTTCAGGAGTATCGTCAAAATGGTTTGTCCTTTCAACGGCGCAATTTCATCTAGTGCAGTAAACTTGGAAACCAACCATTCCGTGTTGTGAAATTGTAGGTAACGCCCACTGCCTGTGGGCTTCCAAAATGCTGTATTCGGAGTAGTCTGTCGGCGTGCGTATATACAGACATGCTAAAAAAGACTAAACAGATTTGTGACCTCATCTCAGTTCAGTTCATGTCCGTTCGTCGGCTATAAACCACGTGTCAAACGACACGCTGTTTCCCGATGCAACATTTTCTGTCATTGAAAAACTGGAAAGCATGGGAAGTGAGTCAGTGATTATCTGGCATTCCTACCCACCACGCTGATTATTCTGACGAGATTGGCTCTTCCAAAAATCAATCAAACTGCGCAAAGTAATGTAGGGCTGATACCACGATGGTGTCTGCGTAACTTTCTTGCTCCTTTCAAGAAGATGGAGATCATGGTGAGGGCACCGCTTTCTAGTGGTATTCCGTTTTCATTCCATATCCACTGAGGATAAACTGCTCACCAAAGCCTCACCATGTTCTCTAGGGTGTGCGATCTCAGAGGCATGGAGCGGGTGCCTTGTTAATTTGGAAGAACAATATTCTGCGCTGAAATTCTGTTGTTGAAGGTAGGCGGATGTTGATGTTCCATTCCGGACTTCCAGGTTCTTCCAAACCTTTTGGTCTCACAGGTCAGCTGAACAATTGTTTGCTCCAGTCAGTGACTTTTTGAATGAACTGTTGCTCTATTCTATGCAAAAACTGTTTTGATCAGTTGGTCAAACCTGCTGACATTGGGAGAGGCTGCTGCCTTAATCGGAAGCCTTCCTTATCCCCCGGGTAGTCGCAATCCACCGATGTTCCCCGTCATTCCTCAAATTCTTGAGTATCTCACTTCTGATGTACCCGGTTACGCCACAGCAGTCGCTGTCTGCTGCTAAGGCTTTTCTGGAAGTAATAAAGTCTGCTAATCGGGACGATATTCAGTGCTCATTTAGTCCTTTCGAATGATGCACGATGGCCCAAGGAACCGACTGAAACGATCGATTGGTGTCACATAAGAATGAGAAATTCATAGTCTGTACGAATTCATATTGACAGCATGTTACCAGATTTCGCAATAATACTGCGAACAGCTGTCTGCATTTGCTACAACCTAATTTAGTACCCAACTGGGCTGTTCCTTTCAACATCTGTGACTAATTTAACTACCAGGTGTACAGTGGCCTAACAGCTGGTTTCCGAAAACAACAGTGTTTGTCAATCCATGTTGAAGTTATGAAAATATTCAAGGAAGAATTTAAGATATGGCTTGTCTTCAGAAATGTGAGGTAAGAAGCAGAGAGAGAATAATGTTCTCCAAATGTACTTCGTCCTTCTCGTTCGCTGGACCCTTTTTATCTGTATGTTTTAACTGTTACGTGTTTCCAGACGTCGAGACCAAAATTTTGGATACTACGGCGCCTTTACCACATGTTGACACATGAGGATAATTTTATGGGGTCTTTCATTGTCCCACTTAAGAACTCATACTTCGACCGCAGAAATCCCTACCAGCTCAAGTGGTCCAAACAGCCATTATAAAGAAAGTCATTGACGGACGCTGAGTAGACAGTGTTCGACACCTGAGTGTAAAAGTTTATGTTTCTCTCATCTGAGTGAAACATTTCAGGCGCGTCGGTATGGACGAGAGATCAGGGCCCCATGCTAGCATTGAGAAACATTTTTGCCAGAATAAATTCAGGTAAATGGATGTGTGTGGCTGAGATGAGTAACACCTCCTCACCCCTATCCTATTACTAGGCAGGAAGTGCAACATTCAGTGG